CTACTAGCACCAGAGTCTAATAATCCAAGCAAGGAAAATCCCATAATTTGAACTTCAAGGTAAGGACGTTGGTCTACATGAGCATGTGAAATAATGTAGTCCAGAAGAATTTTATTTGGAAAAACTGAAGGATTGGTCATTATACTAAAAGCATTGGAGTATATAGCACGACCTGACGATTCCTCCGGGGCTCGTTTCCCGAACATTTATTTCAGTTCCTGACTGTCATACCAGGGTTACCACATGGATAGCAATGTGTCTTTCGAGGTTCTGGACAATTCCGATTCCGGTGACCATTTCTCTGGCAATTCCAGCATTTGACGTTTACTCGTCTAGAATCTTGGTGTGATGAAATTTCATCAACAGGGTACGTCAGGGTACTTGGAGAATCAGTACTAGAAGAAGGTTCAGTGACTGCCAAAAATGCGAAATCAGGTTCAACAAACTGTTGACGCTTCCTAGAAGGTGGAACGTAATGCTCAACCCGATACTTTTTAGTCTCTAGCTTAAGACGTTCTTGCTCAAGTTCTACAAGGGAATTAACAACTGGAAGTTGGGTGGTGTGAAAAGGTGACAAGTTACAAGATAAAATATGCAACTGTGTTTCCGAGGTCAATCCGTCATAACGCCTAAACAAAGCTCGCATGCAGGAGAGGTAATCTACAATGCTTTCCGAGGTACCCTGAGTTTGCTCTAAAATTTCCCTAAAAAGTCTAGGACGGTAATCGGGTGGTTCGAAGTGACGACGAAGCAACTCACACAAGGTTTTCCAACTATCGAATCTGCCACGATTTGCTCTATACCAATTTAGAGCTTTGCCTGAAAATAATTTGGTTTTCTGTGACATGAAGGGATTTACTCAATTCGGCCACTCTCTCTAGTAAATTAGTGGCGGACAATTTATGGTCACCAGAAAATTTGAGATTCCATTTCTTTAGATTGTGAGGTTTAGAACTGTTAGGCACAATTGGTATTTGTGGTGGAGTTATGTACCGGAGAAGATACATGAAATTCGTCAGCATCGAGCTTTCGACTAAGTTCAGGATCAGCTCGAACAACAGCCTCCAAATGATCCAAAGCAGCCAAGACATCAATGAGGAGTTCAGTCTTCTCAGACCGTTCTTTCGTTGACAAAATAGAATAAGGTATTCGTTTTACCCGCTCAAGCAAACGAACTAATCGTGACTGTGTGGATACAAATTTATTTTGGCTTGCCTCACCTGATATGGTGGGAATTCCAATTTTAAAAGTGGTCGCAATATAGACCCTAATTCGTCCACAGTCTTGGTATCACTAACGGAGACACCTCGGACAATAATCTCATGAATGAGCATTTCCTTTTTTAGGTACGAGCTGGTCATTTTGTAGTCCATTTTGTCTAGCAATCAATGCGTTAACTAATCAACAATAAAAATAATAAAAATAAGTTTAGAGATAGAAATAGAAATTTGATCATATGCACTTAAAACAGCCAAAAGAAAATAAATAAAAATTAATAATATGTAGGTGTGAGGAAGAAGAAGAAAAAACATAAAATTTTGAAAGTCTTTTCAAAAAAACGGCAGCCCCACGTTGGGCGCCAATTAATTTGCCACGCTTTTCGGTGATTGAAAAAAGTTTTAAAAAAAATAGAAAATAAAATTTAATGAAGATACTTGTGATTGCAGGACTGAAGGTCAAAGTGCGTGCAAATTATGCCCTTGCTCAGAATTAAACAATTCGTAGAGTAGGGGTGAGTTTATTTTCGGGCGCCACCGACTAAGGACAGCTGAGTCCGAGGAAAATCATTAGTCATCACAAGAACTAGTCACAAGTGAACATAGAATTTAAATATTGAAAATTAGAAAATTTACATAATCTGCAATTACTGTAATTATTGTTGAATTTTATAGAGGAAAAATGTAAACAAAGTTGAAGGAATTTTGAATGGAAAAATAAAAGTAAGTGTGAAATAGTTGAAGCCAATTTTGGCACGTTACAAGACATGGCCGCAGTGTGTGTACTAACGCCCTTGCTGTGGTGCCTAGTGCTGGATGGGCTGCTCCGCACTCTGAAGGAAGAAGTTATGTACACTCAGGTATACTCAAGCCTACGCGGACGATCTTGTCATCGTCGTGGCTGGTAGGGTAAAGGGATCATGTAGAGAGCTCTAAACATGGTCGAAAGATGGTCATAACAGGCTCTCGATAAATCCTGACAAGACCGACCATTTACTCGAGAAACATGGGCCTGGAAGAGCTCTATGGATCGAGACTTACTCCATCGGGTTCGGTCAAATATCTAGAAGTCATCATTGACTCCAGGCTGACCTGGAAAGACCACGTCAACAGGGTCGTTTAGAGGGGCACTGCTAGCCTTTGGGTCTGTAGAAGATCCATCGGAAGCACCTGTGGCTTACAATCCCATATAGTGCACTGGCTTTACACAGCAAGTTAGCAAATTCAGCTACATGTTAGAGCTGGACATGCTCCAAAGATTTGCCTGTATGGCTACAATTGGAGCTTTTATAACCACCTTAACGCTAGAAGCCATCTTGGGAATAATGCATCTTCATCTCTCTGTGGTGGCACGGACCCAGGAGGCTTCAGTCAGACTCAACGATTGGGGACAATGGGTTCATAGAGGGCTGAAAATGGGGTATGCAAAGGCCTGGACTGATACTATCAGACAGGAGCCCCTTCTCACCAGAAGGGATGCAATGCCAAAAACTTCAGATTCCCCTAGACAATACAAGGTTGTAGTCCCTGCAAGAAACGACTGGCTAGAGCCTGACCCAGGTTTCCTTAAGCCGGAGGGGCTCATGTGGTACACAGACGGGTCTTTTATGGGAGAGGGTGCAGGAGCTGGTGTATATGGGGAGAGACTTGTGGCGAGAATCAATCTTGCACTGGGTCGATACCCAACGGTGTACCAGACTGAGATCTACTCGAAACAGGTGTGTACTCCAGAAAATCTCTAGAAAGGTTACTGGAGCAAGCATATTCATATATGCAGCAACAGTCAGGCAGCACTCTGAGCCCTTGGCTCAGACAAGGTCAACTCAAGGCTTACGCTTGACTGTATAACAACCCTAGAACTACTCAGTAGACTCAACAAAGTCACTCAGTTTCAAGACGAATGTCGAGACGAATCAAATAGGCCTCAGATCTTTAAACAACAAAGTCTCTTAGACTGCGAAGAGGCAAAAAGCCTCCCAACTAAACAGGAGCCAACTAAGAGCCATCTGACAGGGCACTGAATGTTCTACCTGCACAAAATCGCACTCAGAAATGAAACGGAATCAAGGTTCTGCAGCGAAGTAGATGACATCACCAAGCATATAGTCTGCGAATGTGACGCCCTCGTCAATTGCAGACTACGATACCTCGGCTACTGGTTTCTGGAACCTGATGAAATAAAGCATGTCCGACCTAAGCCGGTCTGTACTTGCTGGCTGAAACCCATAACACACGACTTCCTCTAATTATTGAGGAAATATGCCCAATCTTGAACAAAACGAGGAAGAATCCCGAAAAATCTTGGTGCCAAATGCAACCTAACGCACAGAATAAAAAGGTAAGCACACAAAACGAATTTTATTTTGATGCTTCTAGGGCCACAAAGAGTGTACAATCTTTCGTTTTCATTTAATTTTTCAATTTTAATTTATTTCAATAATAAGCCTTGACCCAAGGAGCGTCAGTTGATTCGGAAAATAAATTTCCAGAGAAGTGATAGTGAGATACCTACATATTGTGTAGATAATTGTGCACTGAATGGGCAAAATGATGCACAGTTAATTTAGCAAACAAGTAATGAAAAACACGAGCAATTTCAAATCGAAATGGATATTTTTCAAACTCAAAATCCGCACATTTAATAAATGAAAAGTTTCGATAAGTGGTAATATCAAAAACATAATCAACTGAGGATAGAATACCCATGAGAACCAATATGTGATTAATTGCGTTTAGTCCAAAATATTCAACGTAGCACCTAAATTTTCGGTAAATCTCTATCAAATTAAGGACTTTGGTAAAATATGTCCCTTAAAAGCGCGTTAATGTTCCAATCGAGCTTAAAAAACCTTTTAACCAAATCGTTTTTGGTGTAAACGTCTAGACTTGAGGATAAGTAAGAAACTAACTAAGTCAAAAATTTTCAGGATGAAATTAAAAATACATCCCGAACATCCGATTGCCGATGACAAATAACTGAACCGAACAAAAAACTATAAAATATTAATTTGATTGCTGTCGGATGTGACCGACTTAAAAACCATGCCGGAAAATCGATTTGACATAAAGAAGTTCATTTCCTAGTTTTCCCACATGGTTGCACGGATGACTGCTGGTGGGATAAAATCGGGAATAATACATGGGGGAGAAAATTGTCCAGTTTACGTTCGATGCTCTATTTTTCTCCAGGAAATTACAATTTAATCTCGATAGATCGTATAAAGCGCCTCTGGGTGGGTGCAGTAATAAAGCGGAGTGGGGTTTTTTTTTCGTGATGTTATGAAATCGCTGGCAAATATTGACAATTCTAATTTACTGGAAATCCAAACCAAATTCAATTATCCAAAGGATTATGCTTGGATTGGTAACAAAGAGCCCTGATTATTGTTGAATTAATTAATTCTGAAGCGGCTCGTCATAAAACCTTCCGTAAAACAATTCACTTCATCAGGTTTCTTGAAACGTGCGCCGAGTTGTTATTCCGCTTGTCTAATTGAAATAAATCTATTTCGAGATTATTTTTCTGAGAAGAAAAGGGCACAGACGTGTTCGAGAAATATCGAAATGCGTTTAATTGAAAGGAATATGCTAACAGCGAAAGCGTAAACAATGTCTTTTCCTGCAGCTATTTTCCCCTTTCAAATAGCTTTGAAGATTTCATCGTGCTTGTGAAATCTTTAGAGGACTTTCATTATTTGAGGTTCCAAAGCAGCCAAACAGTTGCTTAATCTCTCCAGAGTTTCTTGTGGAATTCTATTGCTCAATAATAATATTTACTTTCAGGAGGTTTCCTCTGTAAAGGCTGGTGCGAAGAATGGGTGGTGCTATTTGAAGACTCGACTCTAGCTTGGTACGCGGACAAAAGCCTCAACAGACTCAGAGGATGCGTAAGAATAAGTGAAGCACCCGAACTACTAGCAGTGGGAGAATGGACGCGACAGGTACCAAGAAAACCGCGATTTCCTAGGGCTTGTCACGTAGGGCAACTGCTGGCTGTCGGTTGCAAGATGGTACGCGACGTTCATTGGTTGATGGGACAAACTTCTGCCGAAATTAAGTAAGGAAAATGCGTGTATATTTGAGTAGAATGTAAAATTTTGCTGTTTTTTTAGCGACTGGATGACAGCTATCAGCAATACGGTAAGTAGTTTGAAATTGTTGTGTAGAAACTTAACACATTAAGGCCGGGTTGGGTGTAGGCCATTTTTTATTCTAAATCCTTTAGTTAGAGGGTTTTTGCTTGTATGTAGCACGGAAACCTAGGAAAAAAGTGCGAAGTCTAATAAAGGACGTTGACAGGACATTAATCAACATCTGAATTGTTTCCTTTGTGAAACATCAAATAAGAGGGGTGTTAATTATACAATGACGTTCGACCTGCTTTAGACTTTGGGTTAAATTTTCTTTAACTTTTAAAATGAAAGTTTTTGTGATAAAACAAAATGTAGAGTGAGAAAATTACATGAAATATTTTCCATTTGTATTTGGAATACTGGAATTTAATGGTAAATGTTAGGATATAATATTCAAAAACTCCATAAAGATTTTCACAATTCTTTAATGTATGACACTTTAAAATATCATTGGTCTTATTACCATTTCGTATAACCATAGATTCATATTTGGGTCAATTCCCCAGCTTTTTCCTAAAAGCCTTCTGCATCTCCCTAGGGAAATTTCAGCCTTCTGGACAACTTTGTTGAGGTGTGGACCCTAGGTAATTTTTGGTCAAATAATAACTTTTAAATAATTAATTTCCCTGCACCAGTTGTCTACTATGTTCAATGCTTTTTGAGTTTTTGACTTCAGGCATACTCTAGATGCCTGCCTCTGACTATCAGGATTATATCGTTCACGTAGCCGAAGCAGTAAAATATCTCCTTGGTCCTTAGTCATTTTTGCCAGGAGATAAACGCCTCCCTGTGGGAGTCCTTACCCACTATTGCTTCTACTGCGTCCTCACCCAGAGCGAATGTGATTACCCTATTTCTTAGGGTGGCTTCTATCCAGTTGCATATGATATGCGAAATGTTCCTACGCGTCAATGCGATCATTAGTGATGTTGTTGGAACGTTATTGAACGCTGAGCTTCTATGTCTAGAAACATGCCTAGCGCCACATATTCTCTGGTCACACATCTTTATAAGACAAATCACCCTGTAGACTTGATTTTTGATAACAAAAATAGTAATAAAACCACTAAAATTTGCCGAACTGGTCAAAATCCAACATAAACTCAAATCCCAAAGATATAAGTTTTTATTTCTCAAGTTGAACTAATTGTAGTAGGTATACTCACGTTCATTCTTGCTTTTCACAAAATCTTTGCGGAGCTATAAAGTTTATATCAAATTTAATAGAATTTGTCCGGAGAGACCTGTTTGGCTCTAAAACTTCTGCAAAAGCTAACTGTCACATAAACACCGTTAATAATAATTATTATTGTCACGAGCCGCAACCAAAACTCATCAATCCGCTAATATATTTAAATCAAATTCCAAATCCGTAGAGGCACCAACCATTTGCATTTCAAGTCCAATTTATGTGGGACAAAATTTAATGTATGGTGAAACTGAAGCTGGGTAGTAAATAATTCGATACCTACCGCAAGCACTACGTCAAAATTGTCTGGAACAGACAGGAGACAAAACAATCAGATAATAAAACTCCAGAGCTTGTCAAGCAAGCGAGTGTTTTTGCGAAATAATACATTTACATAATATTACAAGTAACTGATTTTGACTATATTTCAGCTTCCACCTCCACCGAATGTCCTGTTTGATGAAAAACGACTGACTCGTGTGTCTATGGCAAATGGTCGTGGTAAGTTGACAAAAATTCACTATAACATCAGGGCCACAATTTACTAGTAATTACTTTGAGAAGTTTCGGTAATTAAATTTTACTTTAGAGTGCTACAGTGATTTACGCTCTAATTCCATCGAACAGCAAAGTCCGCTCCGATATTAATGTGTTCGCTTGTTCGAGGGTCTCGCCTTGGAAATTAAGATCGGTTTTTGCTTTAAAAGGACTGCACATTATATACAATTTCATGGTTTGTTTCAGCGAATCCTGTTCCGAACGGTTGCGCCACAATTATCCCGAACGGAAAATGTCCTACGGTCAAGCAAAACGGTTCGGCCAAAATGCCAGCGTCGGCTTGTAGTTGCGACTACGTGAAACCCAAAGGCAAAAAGGCTGGAAAATTTGAAAATGATCATACCATATTAGCAGGTAAATATATGCTTCGTTCGTTTTATTTGAATTTAAATTTGTTTAATGGAAAATGGAGTGCTAAAAGTAACTTTCCGAATGCGAATATTCATATCAGTTGCTACCCCAGCTAGAGTGGTTTGAAGCATTACCTAATCCTAAATGTATACTAGATTTATCAAACCTATACCCATATTGCTAAATAACATTTTTAATGTTTGGTCACAAATTATATTTGTATTGATAAAGTGTTTTTATTCGAGCTTAATGGCCATCGTAAGTTGGAATTTCTTCCTGACGTTTTGCTAGCATCTTCAGAGGTGCTTCCATGTCCGATTCTGGTAGCAGACTGACGCGTTCCCGACCGCAAGTTGTATTTATGTGTGAGTGGTTGTGCTGGGGGAGGGGCGGGGCTTCGCAGCACGTGGGTAATGTGAACTTTCTCTGTACTCAATAGGATCTTTCTGAAGATGCTAGCCACGCGTGCTAGTGACACGTCACGTCAAAACTGAAAAATCTTTTCTCCGAGAGCGAATCCACAAAACAAGGAAGGATCTGGCTGAAGTAGATAGAGAACTACTTCTATATATCTGACGCTAAGCAAAAACGTACAGGCAAAGGATTGGAACAAAATTGACACTATCTCATACTCGAGCATAGATAATGAGCTAAATCCGAGTGAAAATCCCAGATTCGAAAATACGAGAAGTTCTATAAGAAACAAATCCGAAATTCCCCAGCGCCTGACAAATCCAGACTGGTCATTAATCTCACGGATCGAGTCCTTACTAAAGAGGAAACAGCCGTCTTGGCAAAAGCCGGCGATTTCGCAATCACTCCACAACACCTGCCAACGGAGGGGATTAAAGCCAGCACTGAAGCTGCCATCAGAGCACTACCTGATGTGGAAGCAGAAGAAATCCGTATTGAGACAGCTAACATTCTACAAAAGACTCGACCACCAACCAGTAACCTCTCTAAGAGGACTAATGGCAATTAGAAACCTGAATTCAGCGGAAGATATGATCATCCTACCTGCGGATAAGAGCAACGCAACTGTTAAGAACTGAAGACTACAGCTGAAAAATTTAGAGACTCTTTGATCCATCTACCTTTCGAAAGCTAAAGAAGGATCCCACCCAAGCCATACTCCGGAACACCAACAAACTGACTAGGTCATTTACCCTAACAGACACGATTGAGAAAGGCATCCTAAAAACGGAAGCGGTTCTGTTAAAGTATTGTAGTCAGGACCTTAGCCACAAGTGACAATTGACAGACAGCTGCCTTTGTCGGAGAACTGTCAAGCTGTATTATTTATTCTTTTGTTGTTGTTAAAATAATTAACACGCGCTTTAGTTGATGATTCTAATTAATATAATTTGTATTCATAGTGTAAACGCTAAATTACTTTTGCTACAATAAACAGTGCTTCCATCAGGGTATTGTTTCATTGGCCCAAACAGGAAATACCCTTACAGGTTATGGGCCCAGCCAAAGTTATTATAGTTTAGTCAAAAGAAAAGTAATAGGTAGCGTTTTTGTGCTAATACGCAAAAATGGCAAGCGGTTCATCTTTTGTGTCAATTGATAAGTTGACGACTGGTAGGGACAACTTTAGTGAATGGAAGTTTGCAATGAGAGCACTTCTTGAATTGAGCGACCTATGGCAGGTAATACAGGGAGGAGAGACAGACGATAAGAAAGACAAAAAAGCTCTTGCCAAAATCAATATGTCGGTGGACAAGTTGAACTACTCACACCTGAAGACAGCCAAAACATCCAAAGAAGCTTGGGATAATCTAGAGAAGGCATTTGAGGACTCGGGACTTACAAGAAGAGTCGGTCTTCCGAGAAAGTTAGTAAGAACCAGGTTAGAGGATTCTGTATCAGTAAAAGCCTATTGTGATGTGACACAATAATCTTAACCTCACACAAGCTAAATGAGTTGAAATTTAAAGTAGAAGACGAATGGGTAAGCACTCTCTTGTTAGCAGGACTACCTGACGAATACCGGCCTATGATTATGGGTTTGGAAAGTAGTGGGGCTCAGATAACTGCTGATTATGTGAAAATTAAATTATAGCAGGATGTGGTAAGTACTAGTGAACCAAAGTCTGTGAATAGCAATGCAGCTATGTTTTCAAAAAACGGTTTCAACAGAAACCTTAAGAAAAATAAAATAAAGTGCTACAATTGTAATAAAATTGGCCACTATAAAGCACAATGCAGAGGTGCCAAAGCGATTGATAAAGATAACAATAAGAATAAGGGGAACACAAACTTTCTGGCCTCCTTATCTTTAGAGAAAGTACAGAAGGACGCATGGTACTTAGAGTCTTGTGCTTCAGTGCAATTAACCAAAAATATACAGTAGTTAAGGGACAATGTGTCTAGTGAAGCTGGAAACATGAAGACAGCTAATAATTCTGAACTCAGTATAGTGTCACAAGGAACAGCCAACATAAGCGTGGTGATTAATGATGGAAACAAAATCATACCTGCAAAAGAGGTTATGTATGCTCCTGATGCAGCAGTAAATTTACTTTCTATAAGTGAAATTGTGCAAAAAGGTCACAATGTAATATTTAGCAGGTACAGTGACTCTATTACCCACAGTGGCGACAATTGCTGTCTTATTTTCGATTGGTTCTAAAATCCCATATATTTAAATTGAGAACGTGGCCATCTTTTTGCCACCTATTGCTTATTTCAAATATGAATATATGGGATTTGGATGAACATCCATCATAAAACATGGGAAACAACGTATTTGATGGTCCTAATAATAGTCATCGAATACGTCGATTTCAATTTTTTATGATAGATATCCATTTAAATCCTATTATTAATAGGTATTTAAAAGTAACAAGAGGTTGGGAACAAAATGGCGGCAGGACCTCTATTGTCGCCACTGTATGTAAAGGTTTATTTAGCCACTGTATTAGCAGGTATGGAGCTCAGATTATGGATGTGTCAAACAAAATTGTAGCCACTGGCTTCGAACTAAACGGCATTTATCAGCTTGAGACTACTTTGAGTGGAGATACAGTTGGAAGAGCAGTTAATGGAAAACCAGTATACTCGAGTGTAAAAGAATCTAGCGATTTATGACATAGACGATTGGGACACCTGAATAGAAATAATATGAACCTATTGTCAAATATGTGTAGTGGTTTGAACATAAACTCTATAACCACTGAACCGTGTGCTTCCTGTAAAGAGGCAAAGCCATGTAGACAGCCATTCAAGTGTAGTTCTAGACAGTCAAGTAAGATTTTGTAGTAAGTACATCGTGATCTATGTGGTTCCATGGAGACAATAAGTACTTTTTTCTAGGAGCGTGCGCAAAGTTATTACTTTGCACATTCATTTGCGTGCGCAAAGTTGAATTTGGCGCACGGAAACTCTTTGCGCACCAATTTTTGTTATGCATAGTTACCGCATTTATACTCGATTTTACAATGTTTTGTGGGTTTCTTGATAAACTTATATTCAGTCCTGATATTATTTTTGTTCCAATAAAGGCATTCTGGTAATGTTCAGCTTTTTTAATTTGACAATTTTCGTATGAGGAGCGAGGGGAGGAAAAATTCAGCAGAAACAGATGTGAGGTCAGGTGACCATTGGCATAGAGCCACCAACTCACATTGCTTTGGAGTATCAGATTATAGAAGTTGGACTGTAAGTATACCTCCATATCAAAATTTGGCAAAAAAAAACAAACTTAACGACTTGTTCAAATTTCAAGTAAACCTCGTTAGCACAACCAATGCTGCAAATATAGTCAAGATGATCACTAAAAAAACATTGAAAACACGACACATTAAACTAGTAGAGAAAATTACCAACTTTGAGCATCTGGAAACATGTAAGAAGATTAGGTATACAGCTTTTCTGAATGCAAATCTTGAACACTCGTAGAAAAAGTATTGTTCCTAACACTTGCGCAAAGTGTCTTTCCCGCCTGAAAAAGCAGTTAGACGAACGACGCGAAGCGGAGTTCGGATAAGTATCACTTTGCGCACTTCTTAGGAAAATAACTATTTCACTTTGATAGACGATTATTCTAGATTCATATTTGCATATTATTTTATGTCAGAAAAGTGCCAAGTATTTACAGAATTAAGGCGGCTAGTAGAAAATCAAACTTATTGTAAAATCAAAATATTAAGAACCGAAAACGGGACAAAATATGTAAATAATAAATTGAGAAATGTACTCGAACAAGCAGGTATAGTCCATCAGACAACAGTCAGATACACTCAATAACAAAATGGGGTGAGTGAGCGAGCAAATAGGACAATGAGGAAAAAGCTCGCAGCATGCCATCAGATGCATGCTTGTCTAAGGAATATTGGGCAGAGGTAGTAAATACTTGTATTTATATCATTAATAGATCTCCAACCAAAGCAGTGAAAAATAAAACACCTTATGAAGCATGGTTCGAGAAAAAGCCAGACTTATCACATTTAAGAATATTTGGTTCTGAGGCGATGACTCATATACCAGATGCATTCAGGAAGAAGTGGGACCCGAAATCTGAGAAATTACTTTTTATGTGCTACGGCGAAAATACGAAAGGTTTTAGGCTGATAGACCCAAGAACATAAAAACAACACACAGCAGAGATGTGGTTTTCTTTGAGAACAATAATAAAAATGAGGCAATAATCAAGGAAACAAAACCTGCAGAAAAAGATGATGGTCTACTAATATGACCAATACAAGATGAAGAAGTGAATCGAGAAGGTTTTCATGAAAATAACTCTGAGAGTGAAGACAGTTCTGAGCAGAGTTCTGGAACTTCTGGAAACGATTTTGTACAAGCCGAGAATAGTGAATCTGAGGATTTACATGATGAAGAAATACAAGATTTTCAACAATTACAAGAGTTGAAAGACAGGTGAATAAACCACAACACCTGGAATATTACGAGATATATGCGGTTTACGACACCATTGAGTCTCAAGACGATCCTCAAACTTTTTCTGACGCTCAAGAATCTGTCGAGTGGAAAAA